ATGCTCTCGTTCATTAGCATGAAATGCATACTTACACCATCTCCAAATGTGAGCTGGTTTTGACACAAGGGCATTCAAAAAAGATAACATTTGAATGGCTGGCAAATGAAGGATAAAGAGGAACGAAACCATTTTTTAAAAGTGCAAAGCATTCAAGTTTGAACAATATTGTACTTCATCCCCAATACTGTTACAATTTCTGTGAAAATAGCCTACCTCTACAGAATATAAAGAATGGAATAATCAGCAGGGGTAGGACAAAAGTCTTCTGTATTTTGCCATGTGATGACATAGCTCACAAATTATGCAGATTTCATTTTAACAAAAAAAAGTTGTTTTGTTCTGACTCCTAGAAGGTCAAAATCACACCTGTGTCTATCAAAAGTATCCATCTTCCTTCGCTCAGCCTTCCTTATGGTCCAGCTCTCACATCCATAGGTTACTACGGGGAATACCATTGCTTTAACTGTGTGGATCTTCACTGCCAGTGTGATGTCTCTATTCTTCACTATTTTATCGAGATTAGTCATTGCTCTCCTCTCAAGAAGTAAATGTCTTCTGATTTCCTGGCTGCAGTCTGCATCTGCAGTAATCTTCGTGCCCAGAAATACAAAGTCTGTCACCGCCTCCATGTCTTCTCTCTCTATTTGCCAGTTATCAATCAGTCCAGTTGCCAGAATTTTTTTTTTTTTATGTTTAACTGCAACCCAAATTTTGCATTTTGTTATAAGGCTCCTCAGCTCCTATACATATGTATAGGTCAACCTCATGTAAGGATTGAGGGGAAATTTGCTGGCCTAAAGTATTACACTTGAACCTGAATCAGTTTGAATGAAAATTATTTGTAATAATCAGTGAGCCGTTTTGTATAATATTCCAAAAGAGAACGGGGAGGAGGGAGCCGCAAAGCCCAGCAAAACGGATCAAGGGAGCTGGATTTTATTCGTTCCTGAAGAGGAAGGAGTTAAGTCAGCATACCTGAGGCAGGGATCTGCCATGTCTTTTCTTTTATACCTATCTGGCAGAAGCAGCAAACCTCCATTTCTTTTTTTGAAAGTTTCCTAGTCTTCTCCTCCAGAGAAGGTCCTGCTGCCTTGGTTGAAACTTGCTTTCCCAGTCACACTTGCATGGGACACGGACATTGAAAAGTCTCCGAGTCCTCTCAGAGCATGGTGGGAGTTGAAGTTTTTCTCTCTTTCTGTTTCTCAGCCAATAAAAGGCCTGGTTGTGTCCCTGCTCTGATTGGCTGAGAATGGACACAAGCGAAGACAACTATTCCCAGAACCCTGTCTAGTGGTTTGTCTTATTTTTTGAAAAAAACTTAAAATAATTCTAAAAAAATCCGTAGATTTGTGAATTGTTTTGAAACTTGGCAAGCCTGATATTGTAAATGGGGTTTAAAACCGAGGTAGGTTTCATGCAGATAGGCCTTAAAATGATTGAGGATTGAGCCTTTAAAATTTCCCATTGTAGCCAATGGGCTGAATCTTTGCCGAATGAAAACGGCAACACCCCTCCCAATTTGAGTAACTTCCCGGTAAACAGAATGAGTGGCCAGCCAACAACTGACCCCAAGACAGCATGCCTTTTGACTGAATTGAACACCTCTAATGGATACTGGTATGACCCATGGGTAAGCCATGGGTTATTTTACAGAAAGGAAAATATAATCACCCAAGATCTACAAGCCACTCTAAACACCTTTGCAGAAGCACATGAGAAGCTCGGCCTGTCATTGAACATTGAAAAAACCAAGGTGCTGTTCCAGCAGTCACCAGCCAACCCCTTTCCAATGCCAGTGATACAGCTTAATGGTGTAACATTAGAAAATGTTGTTCATTTCCGCTACCTTGGCAGCCACCTCTCCACCAAAGTCAACATCGACACCGAAATACAACACCGCCTGAGCTCTGTGAGCGCAGCATTTTTCCGAATGAAGCAGAGAGTGTTTGAGGACCAGGACATCCGTAGGGATACCAAGGTGCTTGTTTATAGAGCTATTGCCCTCCCAACCCTGCTCTATGCCTGTAAGACGTGGACTGTCTACAGACATCACATGCAACTCCTGGAATGATTCCATTAGCGCTGCCTCCGGAAAATCCTGCAAATCTCTTGGGAAGACAGGCGGACAAACATCAGCGTGCTGGAAGAAGCAAAGACCACCAGCATTGAAGCAATGGTCCTCTGCCATCAACTCCACTGGACCAGCCACATAGTCCGGATGCCCGACCACTGTCTCCCAAAACAGTTGCTCTACTCCAAACTCAAGAACGGGAAACGGAATGTTGGTGGGCAGGAAAAGAGATTTAAAGATGGGCTCAAAGCCAACCTTAAAAACTCTGACATAGACACTGAGAACTGGGAAGCCCTGGCCCTTGAGCGCTCCAGCTGGAGGTAAGCTATGACCAGCAGTGCTGCAGAATTTGAAGAGGCATGAATGGAGGGCGAAAGAGAGAAGCGTGCCAAGAGGAAGGCGTGTCAAGCCAACCCTGACCGAGACCACCTCCCACCTGGAAACCAATGCCCTCACTGCGGAAGAAGATGCAGAGCAAGAATAGGTCTCCACAGCCACATACGGACCCACAAGAACACTGGAAGACAATCATCCTCGGAAAACGAGGGATCGCGTAAGTAAGTAATAATCACCCACCACCACTTTCCTACCCAGGCATTCAAAAAGACCAGAAAGAGCACCATTATGGAGAGAATAGAGGGGTTTGTTCTTCTTTAAAGTTCTCCCATGACAGATTAAGCTCTCCTCTTTTTGTTCCTCAAAGAGAATAGTTCCTTTTTAAAATAAAAGTTAAGGTAAAGTACTTACATTGATCCATGGATAAGTAGACCCAGGTTTTGGTCAGTCCTACTTGACTACATTTCTAGAGTTATACCTGAGTCTATACAGTACGGCATAAGAATACAAGAGACAGAACCCTAGTTGAAATAGAACACAGTGCAACAGTGGCCACACTTAAGCTTCACTGGATCAATTCTGTTTGGGTTTGTTTCAATGCTAAATCAGACCTTCGATTTTCCAGCCTTCGGCATTGGCTCTGCAGAGCTGCAAGCATGATTCTTTCCTAGCTGTACTCGGAGACGCTAAGGATTAAATCTGAGATCTTTTGCATGCAAAGCATGTGTTCTTCCACTGAACTACTGTGGGGAGAAAGGACAGAGTTAATTACCTATTGCACTTCAGGAGCCCCTACACTGGGGTGATTTGAATATACAAGTCAAAATCTACATTTGAATTACTACTACAAGTTGAGGATTGTACCAGCCTAATTTAGGGGGGAAGTCCTTTTTGGCACTGATGTTACATAATTGGAAGCAGAAGTTCTTGCTCATTTACTGAAATCATACAAAAATCTAACATTGGCTCCCAATCTAACTTGTGCTTGCCCCTTGGTAGAGAAATGAGATGTTAGACATGGACTTGTAAAGTTTTGCATTTAGATATTTTAAAAATTCAAAGAAATGAGACTTCAGGTAACCTGGTTTGGTAACGGCATATGTAAAAAAGATGTAAGGGCCTCAGCTCACAGTATGGTACTGTTGTTTAAAGGGCTATTTCAAATTTAGGGCTGCACAACATAATCCTAATGTCCATTTACTTGGGGGATGGGGTAGATAATCTTTTCCATTAATTAAGTAGTAATTGCATTACTGTGAGTTTTCTGGGCTGTATGCCATGTTTCAAAAGCATTCTCTCCTGACGTTTCACCCACATCTATGGCAGGCATCCTCAGAGGTTGTGAGGTCTGTTGGAAACTAGGCAAGTGGGTTTTTATATCTGTGGAATGTCCAGGGTGGGAGAAAGTACTCTTGTCTGCTGGAGGCAAGTGTGAATTTTGCCTGGCTGGGTATCCTTTGTTGGGAGGTGTTTGCTGGTCCTGATTGTTTACTGTCTGAAGTTCCCCTGTCTTTTTTAAAATATTCTTTATTTACTGTCCTGATTTTAGAGGGGTTTTTTTTTCATTCTAGTAGCCAGATTTTGTTTATTTTCATGGTTTCCTCCTTTGTGCTGAAATTCTCCACATGCTTGTGGATTTCCTAGGCTTCTCCTCTACCGTGTACCATGTGGCTGTGGACAAGTCTACATAGGGAGCACCAACCGCAGCAAGCCCCAAACACGAATCAAGGAACATGAAAGGCACTGCAGACTACTTCAACCAGAGAAATCAGCCATAGCAGAGCACCTGATGAACCAGCCTGGACACAGCATATTATTTGAGAACACAGAAATGCTGGACCACTCACACAACCACCATCTCAGACTACACAGAGAAGCCATTAAAATACACAAGCATGTGGACAATTTCAACAGAAAGGAGGAGACCATGAAAATGAACAAAATCTGGCTACCAGTATTAAAAAAAAACCCTCTAAAATTGCAACAGCACAACAACAGAGAGGAAACAAACAAGGACATCTAATCACCCCTCAACAAAAGATTGCTCCAGGCACTGTCAGGCCATCAAATGCTAATCAAGGTGGTCAGTTGAAATTCACACCTAGCTCCAGCAGACAAGTGTCCTTTATCCCACCCTGGTCATTCCACAGATATATAAACCCTTTTTCCTAGTTCCAACAGACCTCACTACCTCTGAAGATGCTTGCCATAGATGCAGGCGAAACGTCAGGAGAGAATGCCTTTAGACCATGGCCATATAGCTCGAAAAAACCTACAACAACCCAGAGACTTAGTCGTTTCATGTTCTATAAGGGTTAAAAGCATTCATTTAGAATGTTTACATTGCTTTGAAGCATTTTAAAGAAGTACTGTTGGCTTGAAGACATCACAATTGTCCAAAACTTTAAAGCACGTATTACTGTTTTAGTGACACTTTTTGCTAGAAGTCAGTATACTATTGTTACAAAACTGCCATTTGTTTTAGAAGGAGCTCTTTAAGGCTCTCATTCAGTGGAATGGAGGCCACGTGGCAGGAGGAACTCTGCTTGAGGGGTTGAGCTCAGGGTCATTTCATTTGTACATTTTACAGGCGGATTTACCAAGGCAAGTTAGAGACATGAAGGAAAACATCGTGGAAAACAAGGAACTCTCCTGTCATAGAAAAGCCACTGCAGTAATGAAAAGCAGCCAAGTACACAACAAACGGATGCTGGCTGGACTGAACAAGCCTCTTCAAACTGAAGAGGTGAGTTTATTACTGTTGCATTACATTGCACATTGCTTCTTGAAACCGCTGCTTTTCAAACTCTGCCCTCCCCTTTAGGAACAGTTAAGCACAACGAAAAAGAGAAAAACAAGCAGTGGCTACTACGCTTCGCCTGAAATGTAAGTTTTCGATGAAAAGGGATTTTTTTAATGCATGTGACAACCACCTCCCCTCCTTTAGCAAGCCATTTCAGATATAGCATGCTTGTGAAGTATGTGCTTCCATTCCTTTATATCCCTTTGCATGGTGCTTCTGAGAGTAACCATGTTCTAAAACACTAGAAAGGTATTGGTTGCTCTCAGCTATTTCCACCCCCCAGACTGAGTTAACTGGATGTGATTTGCTATTGTCCATGCCTGACATTACACTCCTTATCGATGTAAACATTTCACATGTACCTGGTCAAATTCAAACGTGTAACAAACAAATACCCAGCAGAGAGAGTGGAATGTTTACTGTGCAAACCCCCGGGTCAGGCCTGGACCCTGCATTAATCTAGCACTGAGCTTCCATTCTTCTCTTGCCAGCACTTCTAGTATTCAGAGGTCGGTCACTTCAGTTTTACAAAGCAGCTACTAATAATCCATATGAAAAAAATGGGGAAAAAGCAGTCAATACATAGATTTGGATATGCACTGGGGCTTGGGAAGACTTTCACACCCTTGGCCACTAATAAGAAACAGAATTGTATTTTTATGCGCACCGATGGGGGATATTAATAAAAGAGAACCCAAAGTATTTTGCACACATACAGATGTGTGTGTGTGTATTCCACCGTAATTTACTGCTTGCAGTCTACTGCCATGCTGGTACAGTTATCAGTGTTATACTATTGCCTTTGTATAGCCTATTTGCTAATTCCAAAAACAGAAAGGATTTTTTTCATAGAAATATTGCTCTTTTCTCACTCCAACCCCAGCTTTTATCTTAACTGCTAAGAAAAAGTATGAAAAACCTGTATAGATCCCAAGGCTACATACATAGGCAACCAATCAAATTACTCTGTGCCTAAGGCAAAGGACTTAACCTAGTGCCTTGTCCTATGGGTGATACAATAGACAAGTGCTTTTCAATCTTTGCCCTCCCGGTGTTTTGGACTTCAGCTGTCACCATTCCTAAAAGCTGGTAAACTAGCTAGGACTTCTGGAAATTGAAGTCCAAAAACACATGGAGGACCAAGGTTGAGAACCACTACATTTGAAAGGACTGTGTGAATGGACTGTTGTTTTAGGATAGTGATTCTCAACCTGTGGGTCCTCAGATGTTTTGGCCTTCAACTCCCAGAAATCCTAACAGCTGGTAAACTGACTGGGAATTCTGGGAGTTGTAGGTCAAAACACCTGGGGACCAACATGTTGAGAACCACTGTTTTAGGACAAAGGAAATGCATTTAAGTTATTACTAGCATAAGGATGGATGCCAGGTTTTCCCGTGGGCACAAGAAAAATGAACTAGGTGTCCCACTACCATGTTTGCTGAAATCCTTGGCACAAATTCTAAAGGCAAAACACCAGGAGCAAATATATGTTTGTTTTTCAACTTTTCCTTCAAGGGTGCATACACTGATTTTTTCTTCTTCTCAGGATAGTAGAGAACAACCGTGCAGCACATCTCTCCGTAGGTCCTCCAAGAAAAAATGAAGAACAGTCCATAGAAAATGAAGGCATACATGAAGCAGTCTATCATCCAGAAGATGTTCAGCCGTTGACCAGCACTACGGCATACAGAATCTCGCAGCCTGAACGACGTGATGAACTATATCGATATGTCATATCAATTCCCATCCTCTTGTTATTAATTTTTCTTGCTCTATATTTTCTCTGATATAGGTTTATTTCTTAAGCAATGGATTTTGTTGAAATCTCATTTCAGATTTTCTTTGTAGACATTTTCAGTGTGATTTGCTGAAATTACATTTTGAAAGAAAAAAATTACAAAGTTTGAAAATTAAAGGCAATAAACTTTTCTAATTTTACTTGTGATATTCTCTAGCTTGTTATTACTAAAAACCAGGCTACCATTAAAAAAGAGAGAATTAACTATGGTCATTTTCCCTCCACCCAAATTGGGGAATCTCATTGGTATATTAAATATTTAAGCTCATACTATAAGAGTATTTAATAAAATCTTCCAGAAAAAGAAGGCAGATTTTTAACTTCAATTCAAACAGTGGCTGGGATCCTGCATTGGGAAACAGCTATAACAACATACCAGCATCTTCTAATACTAACACTTTTTTAAAGGCTAACATTCTGTATTACAGCTACGGATTTCATAAGCTAGACACACACATCCGTATCTGCTCTGTGTTCATCAACATATTCCATGTTCTCCAACACTTGTCACCACAATTGTAAGCATTCCCCCAAATCTACTTTTCCATTGGCTGAAGGTGGTCTGTTCTGTTGGTGTTTGGGACACAGGAGAAGGATGTTTGCATCTCTCTCCTGCTAATGAACAACATTGCATCAATTAGAAGGAGGACCCTTCTTGCAACTTCCCTCATTGGTAGGGGCTGGGTAGAAATGTCATCTTCCTTCACCCCAATGGCCAGCAGAACAGAATCTCCCTTGTTGCTGCCTTGTAAAGTAGGCAAAGTAGAATGCCGTATTGATACTAACTGTGAAAGTGCATTCTGGGTTTATTGTCAAAGGCTTCCATGGCTGGAATCACTGGGTTGTTGTAGGTTTTTTGGGCTATATGGCCATGTTCTATAAGCATTTTCTCCTGATGTTCTGCGAGGATGCCTGCCATAGATGCAGGTGAAACGTCAAGAGAGAATGCTTCTAGAACATGGCCATATAGCCTGAAAAACCTACAACAACCCAGTGCATTCTGGATTGTTGAGAGGAGCAATTCAGAGTGGATTTCAACCTATTGCTGTCCAGAACAAGCAGGGAAGAAAATGACATCAATTTTTCAGGTCATTGCCACCTTAGCACTTCAGTTCACCTTCTAATGTAGCAACAAAGCAGACACAGGGCAGAGTCAAACAGAAACCTCCCTCTTTCCACAGAAAAATACATCTAACAATGAAGAGCAGCCTCCTAAGCAGCCATGAAGAAGAATCCACACCAGTGGGACATACTCAAGCTCCTCTTCCAACTGGTTGCTGTTACTGCTAAATTACCCTGGAGCACCTATCTCCCAAAGGCTGCATCAGCTGCTCTAGATTTAACATTTATTTATTATTAAATAATAATGGGAGACAGTATTGAACCCTGAGGAACCCCACAACCTTTGTCGTGTGGGGTTCCTCAGGGTTCAATACTGTCTCCCATGTTGTTTAACATCTACATGAAGCCGCTGGGTGAGATCATCCGGAGTTTCGGGGTGCAATGTCATTTGTACGCAGATGATGTTCAACTCTGTCACTCCTTTCCACCTGCTACTAAGGAGGCTGTCGAGGTCCTGAACCGGTGCTTGGCCGCTGTGACGGTCTGGATGGGGGCGAACAAATTGAAATTGAATCCAGACAAGACAGAGGTACTCCTGGTTAGTCGTAAGGCCGAACAGGGTATAGGTTTACAACCTGTGTTAGACGGGGTCGCACTCCCCCTGAAGACACAGGTTCGCAGTTTGGGGGTGATCCTGGATTCATCGCTGAGCCTGGAACCCCAGGTTTCGGCGGTGACCAGGGGAGCCTTCGCACAGTTAAAACTTGTGCGCCAACTGCGACCGTACCTTGGGAAGTCTGACTTAGCTACGGTAGTCCACGCTCTGGTTACATCCCGCCTTGATTACTGCAACGCTCTCTACGTGGGGTTGCCTTTGAAGACAGTCCGGAAGCTCCAGTTAGTCCAACGGGCGGCAGCCATGATTCTAACAGGAGCGGGGTGCAGGGAGCATACAACTCCCTTGCTGAACCAGCTCCACTGGCTGCCGATATGCTACCGGGCTCAATTCAAAGTGCTGGCATTGGCCTTTAAAGCCCTAAACGGTTCTGGCCCAACTTATCTATCCGAACGTATCTCAGCCTATCAGCCCACCAGGACCCTAAGATCTTCCGGAGAGTCCCTTCTCTCTATCCCTCCAGCTTCAGAAGTGCGGCTGGCGGGAACGAGAGATAGGGCCTTCTCTGTGGTGGCCCCCCGGCTTTGGAACACCCTCCCTATAGAGGTACGATCAGCCTCTTCGCTGATGGTGTTTAGGAAGAGACTCAAAACATGGCTGTTCAAACAAGCATTCGGCTAATCTGTGGCAATTCGAATATTGATGACTAAGGACAGGAAACATGGACAACGAATTCTGGATTGCGATTTCAACTCGAGATATATGGGATTATTATTGGTGGCCCAATAATTTGTTATTGAATTTGTTATTATATGTGTATATGTTTTTAAATTGTAGATTGTTTTAACTGCTGTAAACCGCAATGAGTCGCCGTTCTAGGCTGAGATATTAGCGGTATACAAGTGTATCAAATAAATAAATAAATAAATAAATATTATTGATTTATTTATTTATGGTATTTGTATACTACCCTTCTCAACCCTGAAGGACAGTCAGGGCAGTTGGTTTCCCTAGATTACTACTGATGAGACACTCTTTGAATAAAAGAGGCCTGCTGTGAGCAATGAGGAGCTGGTAGGGATGCAGAAACATTTGTAAAGGGCTCACATGAAAACAGAACAATGGAACTATCATGAAGAGATTGACCAGATAAATCCACACAATCCTTTCCAGGAGAACCCCAACTCTCTCACTTTAGGGAAACACCACCCATTATTTGGTATTGAGGACTAACCCCAGATGTGTAAGGATCTGAGATGGGTCCAAGTGACTTTTCTTGATGTTCATTAAGAAACAATGCTCCTGAAGTTATGAGAGTGATGTTCAAGTTGTGTGGCATCTGCAGGGAAATATATTGTCGAAATAAGAATGCAAGTTTTAGTGAGTGACTAACACTATCATCAGCTTTGTGAGAATAGCCCAAAGAGCATCACACAGAAACAGATAGTGACAGTTCTCAAAGGCAAACCACAGAAATAAAAGAAACGGGCTGAAAGAGATGCTTGTTTTTCATTGATGAAAAATAAATGTGTGAAGTACAAAGAATCAAAGACCAAGGTGAAAAAAATTAGAAGTTAGATCATAGGAGATGACCCAAAACATAAATGACAACAAAGAAGGAGAAGAGATATGAAGAATTCTGCTCTGGGCAGGGAAAGAACTGAGAAGCAAATGCCTGAAAACATTTGGTTTGATGATGTCATCTTCCCTGCCTGTCCTGGGCAGTGATAGGCTGATTCCTGTGGATTCCTCCTCTTACCAATCCAGAGAAAATGAGCCCTATATGTAAAGCCATGCAGCCCCTCCAAAGGAAGATATGAGGTGCTAGGAAGTGGAGAATTTAGTGATGTCACATCACACCTCGCTACTGGGAAAAAACTTAATGTGTTCTTACCACTTTTGCTCTGCAACAGCTTGGAAAATTATATTGATGTGGGGAGCTACATGGCTTAAAAGGTAGGATTTCAAGGGTACTTTCAGTCATTGTGATGGATCCCCCAGTGGCACAGTGGGTTAAACCCCCGTGCCGGCAGGACTGAAGACCGACAGGTCAAAGGTTCAAATCTGGGAGAGTGCGGATGAGCTCCCTCTGTCAGCTCCAGCTCCTCATGAGGGGACATGAGAGAAGCCTCCCACAAGGATGTTAAAAACATCAAAACATCCGGGCGTCCCCTGGGCAACGTCCTTGCAGACAGCCAATTCTCTCACACCAGAAGCAACTTGCAGTTTCTCAAGTCACTCCTGACACAATGACAAAAAGTCATTGTGATGGTGCAACACTGCAAAATTTAAGTAGTGTAACAATGTTTTACACTAACATCATAATTACTGGACAGGGTCCCTGCCAGGAACTTTTAACACACCTAATCCTATTATTGTGTAGTGACATTGTTCCTCACCTTGTTGCAATAGGGACATTCACCAAATATGACATTAAAACTTTGCCGACTAGACGGGAGCCCACGCAGCCACTGTAGAGAAACACATGGTTTTATTTTCATATACATCTGAACATCAGTCATGGGAATGTAATTGTGATGCTTAGCCTTCAGTACTATTTCAAATGTTTATTACGTAGACTACTTTGTGACATCTTTATTGCAAGTCAGTAGATAACAGTACTTTGAATTAAATGAGATAAGCACCACATTGTTGTTCCTTGGGATAATGCAAGGATATTGTTATTATTTATTTCCCTCTGACCTGTCTCCCAAAATTGGGGCTCAAGGTACAGTTTTAAAAAAAGGAGAGGTAAAAATGTCCAAAAAAGTGAGCGTTAAATTGAGATTAACTATTGACAATATTAAAATGATTTAGAACTACACTTAAATAGATAAAGTACCATTAAAAGATAAAAAAGCAATTAAAACAGTTCAGTCTAAGGCTATCCATCACTATCAATTACTTCTGGTCTTGTAATTGGGACACAAAGCAACTGGCTATAATAATCACATCCAGCATCATTTCCCTCCATCAATGAGGATTAAGTGAATAAATAAGTCTAACACTTCAAACCAAAAACAGATTTTACCAAACATATCTATTTTAGAAGAAAATTAAAACATAATTTAATTTCAGTAAAATTATGAATGAGGAAGGAATGGCATGGCAAGCAAGTAGAAAGATGCAGTACTATTTAGGATTTTCGAATAACGTATACCCTATATACCCAATTATAAGCTGAATTTTTCAGCCCTTATTTTAGGCTGAAAAAACCCACCTCAGCTTTTACTCGAGTCAAAGTTATTTATTATTTTAACTCTTATTAATATTTGTATTACATTTATTATTTTACTCTATTTATTATTATTATTATTATTATTATTATTATTATTATTATTATTGCATTTATTATTTTACTCTATTTATTACTATTACATTTATATTTTACTCAATTGTTATTACATTTATTATTTTACCTTATTGTTATTACATTTATTATTTTACTCTATTTATTATTGATATTATTACATTTATCATTTTACTTTATTATTACTGTTATTATTACATTCATTATTTTGCTCTATGATTATTAGACGGATACGTAAGTGCATTTACATTGAACAAGGTTTGAATAATGGTTTAATCAGAGTTGGGCAGTCTTATCTTAAATTACAGTTTTATGTAAATATTCAAAAACATTTCACCTACTGATGCCTCAATTAATGTAATTTTATTGATATCTATTTTTATTTTGTAATTTACCAGTAGCTGCTGCATTTCCCACCCTTGGCTTATACTCGAGTCCATACGTTTTCCCAATTTTTTGTGGTTAAATTAGGTCCCTTGGTTTATATTCGGGTCAATTTATACTTGAGTATATACGGTATGTATTTAAAAAATCTTTCTTGAACTATGTAATTTTTAAGCGCTTGGGCCAGTTTTTAGTTACATAATCTATGTAGATTGAAGCATATATAAACACTGGGATGTATATGGAACTGGACATTGGACAGATTAGTTTACCTCATATAAACAAGCTTGATGGAAAGACTGGCCACAGCGGGAATCATTGCAGATTTGGTCTGGAATAGCTCCATCAAGACGATAAGCATAGCAGATCCCACAGTCCATGGAAAATTCCTTTAAAAATACAGAATGCAGCTCTATCAGAAGCAATGTATTTATCGGGTTGTTGTAGGTTTCTTCGGGCTATATGGCCATGGTCTAGAGGCATTCTCTCCTGACGTTTCGCCTGCATCTATGGCAAGCAACATCAGAGGTAGTGAGGTCTGTTGGAACTAGGAAAAAGGGCTTATATATCTGTGTAATAACCAGGGTGAGACAAAGGAATCTTGTCTGCTGGAGCTAGGTGTGAATGTTTCAGCTGACCACCTTGATTAGCATATAATGGCTTGACAGTGCCTAGAGCAAACTTTTGTTGAGAGGTGATTAGATGTCCTTGTTTGTTTCCTCTCTGTTGTTGTGCTGTTGTAATTTTAGAGTTATTTAAAAGTGGTAGCCAGATTTTGTTCATTTTCATGGTTTCCTCCTTTCTGTTGAAATTGTCCACATGCTTGTGTCTTTCAATGGCTTCTCTGTGTAGTCTGACATGGTGGTTGTGAGAGTGGCCCAGCATTTCTGTGTTCTCAAATAAAAGTCACACCTAGCTCCAGCAGACAAGAGTCCTTTGCCCCACCCTGGTCATTCCACAGATATATAAACCCTTTTCCTAGTTCCAACAGACCTCATTACCTCTGAGGATGCTTGCCATAGATGCAGGCGAAAACGTCAGGAGAGAATGCCTCTAGACCATGGCCATACAGCCCGAAAAAACTTACAACAACCCAGTGATTCAAGTCATGAAAGCCTTCGACAATACAATGTATTTATCGTTAAAATGCCTTAACATGCCCCACACTTTCCATTTTAAAAACTGAGCTTGTGGTTATTTTGTTGTTAATAAATGAGCCCTTTTATGACAGCTTATCTAAGTTTAAACCAAACCAATCAGTGGCTGAAGCCACCCTAATTAACTGTACAACTTTTAATACAAGTACTTACAAGATCTACATGCTGCTTCGTATTTTCCATTTACACAAAAGGGAATGCCTCTTCTCAGATGGCATGTGTCATTTATATCTGTACACACCATCTAAAAACAAGGGAAGCATGCTTTCCCGCTATTAAAACTATTGTTTTACTTGTGTACAAACTGAACTGATTAGTAATCTTAATTGATAAAACGTCTTTAATCAAGTGACAGAACTAAGCAGGCAATTTATCATTCGCTGCACAAATCTAGCAATATTCCTGTAGCAGGACAAATGGACAAACGTGTTTCCTTAATTATATCAGTTCAGAAATATTGAGAACATCTGTGTGGAATGAATTTTATAGTTATGAAATATAAGAATATCAAAACGACAAAATAGCAGTGTTTAGTTTAAGCTCACTCTCAATTTTAAAATGCCTCCTTAGCAAGTCTATTTTTTCTCAGTTTTCCCACAAAATCCTTTGTATATGTTTAATCCATATCCACTTCCATCCTTTTAAAGAAAAAAATATAGCAAGTGCTAACTTCTGCCAAGAAGTGATACTCAAAACATTATGAAGAACATATAACCATAGAGCAACTTACAGATTTTTCTAGAGCTTCTCGAGATGGAAATTCAATTTCTAAAATCTCTTTCAAATTTTGTAATAAACTGACTTCTGGATCCCTTGGGGTGGGGGTGGGGGTGGGGGAGAGAGAAAGGAAAATAATAGTGTCAATCCTTAATCAAGTTATCAACCAAAAAATCTATTTAAAAATACTCTTACCATAAGTGTATGTTGCTGTTCAGCTTGATTTTCAAGGGATTTACCACTGAAAACAAACAAATGTGTGCATGAATTTCACCATTTTAATAAGGAGAATGTGTGGACTGACTCTGATGTTTGTCAATCAAGGATTGCTGCTGAATTCTAAAGTTTTATTTGCTCCGTCACTGGACGAGTCACATTTTCAGAAAAATCGTATGATATGTTCACCTTAGAGTTGCCTAAGCAAGATATATGCTTGGTAAGTCACAATACAATGAGACTCAGCCATGTTGGCACTATCAAGTTTTTAGGAAAAAATCTGCAATGAAAGAAATTCTATGCATGTACTAGCAAAGTTAGCTACCACATTCCCAAATTCAACCTGAAATCAAAGTCCTTCACCATATACACTTATAACATCTCCAGTTATTCTGTTGTATTTTTTAAGTTGTAGTTTTTGGTTAATTTATTTGGTACTAAGTTTACAGTTAGGTTGTGTGTATATTGTTTAATGTATTCCATTTTGATGTAATTTGTTTACATGAATGTTTGCCATATGTGTTGGAAACCGCCCTCAGTCCCTTCGGGGAGATAGGGTGGCCTACAAATAAATTATTATTATTATTATTATTATTATTATTATTATTATTATTATTATTATTATTCTGAAAGTAAGTTGCAGTGACCATTGTCCACACCGGATGTTTCCACATATTGGTTTGCCAGTTTCCAGAGCATGCAACTGCTGACATGGTTCCACACTATGGAATCCCATGGACTGCAGCTTAGGAAGAGATATTGGAATTATGAGCCAAAGAATTCTAGAAATTCAAGTGCCCCAGATTTCATAGGATGCAGCTATAACTGTAAAAAAGTGAGGCACAAAAGATGTTACTGCCTTTGGGGATACCATCAGGCCAAGATATATCGGCAGAGCTTATGCAGATGTACTCTTTGAACACATTTCTTAATAACAGTGGTTTCCAACCTGTGGTCAGTGGCCTCACCATTACTACACCGTTGCCTAGACATCACGTGGCAACAAGAGCAACTGGTCTCGCAAAACCCTCTCATAATGCCGAGGCAATGGGGATGTTGGGAGGGGAGAGGTTGACTGCCCACGAAAGATTACTACTACCCGATCAGCTCTAGATTATTAAATAATAATAGCCTGAAGAAGAGAAGGCTGAGGGGAGATATAATAGCCATGTATAAATATGTGAGATTAAGCCACGGGGGGGGGGGAGCAAGCCTGTTTTCTGCTTCCCTGGAGACTAGGACGCGAAACAATGGCTTCAAACTACAAGAAAGGGGATTCCATCTGAACATGAGGAAGAACTTCCTGACTGTGAGAGCCGTTCAGCAGTGGAACTCTCTGCCCCGGAGTGTGGTGGAGGCTCCTTCTTTGGAAGCTTTTAAACAGAGGCTGGATGGCCATCTGTCAGGGGTGCTTTGAATGCAATATTCCTGCTTCTTGGTAGGGGGTTGGACTGGATGGCCCATGAGGTCTCTTCCAACTCTTTGATTCTATGATATAGAATCATAGAATCACAGGTTGGAAAGCTTACCTGAATGGTTTTCTGTGGGTGAGCAGACGGCAACTACATGATATGGCATATGTTCTGTACCAGAAACTAGAGCTGATATGGTCTATCCAATGCAATTTTCTGAATCAGCACCCCAAATAACCAAATTAAATCTGAAGTTAAGCAAAAACTGATTCGTAACTGTCTTGGTACTAATGTTGGAGGGCGTTCCCTGGTCAAAGTGTTCACTGATCAAGTGTTCCCTGATCAAGTGGTCCCTGGTCACAGTAAGTTTGGGAACCACTGCTTTATAGGATCAAGAAAAATGTACTGAGGATGATGCCAAAGGAGAAAAGCTTTCTCTGGAATAGAATCAAAACAATAATCTACTAGTTTACCATATAAGAAAAGGATACAGTTTTCTGTCACTCACAGTATGATCCAGATTGGGTAGAAGAGTGGAAATTTGGTAGTAACAATCATATAACTCATAAACCTCAGTTTTCCTGCAGCTATTTATAATGGTATGAGAACTGGCATGCCACACACTAAGGAAAAGGTGCAGTTTTTCAGCTACTGAATTTAAATGCATCTTTTAGATCTGAATGCTGACATGTTAAACAGTACAAAATTGTTCAGAAACGTATCCAACCCTCAATGACATTCTCAGAAAGGTACACAAACATTTTTCGAAAAGTTTAGTTCATGGATACATTTTTAGCCTGGTTTGTCCGAACCAAGTATACCTGACTTACATTACTCTTAAGCAAGCATGACATGAGATATGCCGTTACAGAACAGGTATTATGCTGAACAAAATAAAGGTAAAACTCATCCTACCATGGTCTGCTCCAAGAAAATAGCACTCAGGAATCATGGTTGGATGTCTGGGATCTACCTCAATATTAATTGAAACATTATTTCCTGAAACATACATGGTAAAGAATAGATTAGAAAATAAATATGGCTTCATTCTCACTCATCTAAACTTCAGATACTGAATAGAAGCATAATATGCAAGAGTTAAAGTAGGTCAAGTTTTATGTCCAAAACACTGTTCCTGTAATTTCAGTTTTTATTTTGTCTTGTTTTTTTTAATGTCAGGAGTGATTTAAGAAATTGCAAGTCACTTCTGTTGTGAGAGAACTGGCCGTCCGCAAGGACATTGCCCAGGGGACGCCAGGATGTTTTACCAACTTGTGGGAGGCTTCTCTCATGTTTCTGTATGAGAAACTGGAGCCAACAGATGGGAGCTCACCCCGCTCCCTGGATTCGAACCACTGACCTTTTGGTCAGCAGTCCTGCCGGCACAATTACCCATCGTAATTTCAGTGAGACCCAGAATTTTCTTCATCTTTTTATGTCCATAGGAAATAAAAACCTTCCAAGTTTTCTCGTCCTTTTACCTTCATCTTACTTTCAACTTATCAATATGATTATATATTTAAAGCACATTATTAATCCAGCTTGCCATGCTTAGCTGATTTGTTGCTGAGATTAATCAAACTAATCAAATAAAAGCCCACTTTTTATCTTTTAATAAAATATATCTAATCAATCAAATATCCATTCTTGTTCCTTTTTAAAACAAATGGTCACAGAAATTGTGGTTGAAGGGTTCCATCTTAGAAAAGATATTATTTATTGAGCAAGAGGAGTAAACACAAGAGAACCAAGAAAAACCGAAGTTTTGAATCAAAGAGAAGCACTGTAGACCTAATGAAACCACAATGGCTTTACTAGTCCTAGTAATTTCAGAGACACAAAGGTCTGACTAATTCTTCAGACTACAAATACACAATCCCTGATAATATAAGGGGGGGGGGATAGGGCTACTTGCATTAGCCTAATCCTCAGTGTCTTTGTCCCTGCTGAGAAGGTCTGAAAGGAGAATTAAGGAGCTGGGCATGTTTAGCCTGAAGAAGAGAAGGCTGAGAGGAGATATGATAGCCATGTATAAATATGTGAAAGGAAGCCACAGGGAGGAGGGAGCAAACTTGTTTACTGCTTCCATGGAGATTAGGACAAGGAACAATGGCTTTAAACTACATGAAAGGAGATTCCATCTGAATATGAGGAAGAACTTCCTGACTGTGAGAGCCGTTCAGCAGTGGAACTCTCTGCCCCGTAGTGTGGTGGAGGCTCCTTCTTTGGAAGCTTTTAAACAGAGGCTGGATGGCCATCTGTCAGGGGTGATTTGAATGCAATATTCCTGCTTCTTGGCAGGGGGTTGGACCGGATGGCCCATGTCTCTTCCAACTCTTTGATTCTATGATTCTATAATTATGTGTACGTTCCATAACACAATTCTCCAAAAACATGGGAATTCCATACCATCGTTTCTAATTATGAGAACTCTTAAGTACATTCAAATGCACGTGTAAAGGTTCCTTCTGGAGCCCCCGGTATCACAGTAGGTTCAACCGCTGAGCTGCTAAACTTGCTGACTGAAAGGTTACTGGTTCAAATCCAGGGAGAGGAGTGAGCTCCTGCTGTTAGCCCCAGCTTCTGCCAACCTAGCAGTTCAAAAACATTCAAATGTGAGTAGATCAATAAGGACCTCTCTGGCAGGAAGGTAACTGCGCTCCATGCAGTCATGCCGGCCATATGACCTTAGAGGTGTCTACGGACAATGCCGGCTCTTTGGCTAAGAAATGGAGATGAGCACCAACCCCCCGAGTTGAACACGACTGGACTTAATGTCTTGGGGAAAACCTTTAACCTTAAAGTTTCTTTATATCTTATGAGTTGTTGGGCTACAGGTGGTGTTGAAAAAGAAATAAGGGACGTCTCCCTTCAGAGATTCTGAGCATATGTGGAAGCAAATACCTGATCAGGGTTTTCCTGAAGACCTAATCCATTAGATGTTTGCCCCCTTTCATAATTAATGTTTCATTTAGAATCACAGAATCATAGAATCAAAGAGTTGGAAGAGACCTCATGGGCCATCCAGTCCAACCCCCTGCCAAGAAGCAGGAATGTTGCATTCAAATAACCCCTGACAGATGGCCACCCAGCCTCTATTTAAAAGCTTCCAAAGAAGGAACCTCCACCACACTTCGGGGCAGAGAGTTCCACTGCTGAACGGCTCTTACAGTCAGGAAGTTCTTCCTCATGTTCAGATGGAATCTCCTCTCTTGTAGTTTGAAGCCATTGTTCCGCATCCTAGTCTCCAAGGAAGCAGAAAGCAAGCTTGCTCCCTCCTCCTCCCTGTGGCTTCCTCTCACATATTTATACATGGCTAGCATATCTCCTCTCAGCCTTCTCTTTTTCAAGCTAAACATGCCCAGCTCCTTAAGTCGCTCCTCATAGGGCTTGTTTTCCAGACCCTTGATCATTTTAGTCGCCCTCCTCTGGACACATTCCAGCTTGTCAACATCTCCCTTCAATTGTGGTGCCCAGAATTGGACACAATATTCCAGGTGTGGTCTAACCAAGGCAGAATAGAGGGGGAGCATGACATCCCTGGATCTAGACACTATGCTCCTATTGATGCAGGCCAAAATCCCATTGGCTTTTTTTGCCGCCACATCACATTGTTGGCTCATGTTGCGGCAAATTTAATACATTAAATAACAGCCCTGTTACTGAAAACCACGTACATATGTAGTAGTTTACAGAATAATGTACATGAAAGGTGAGAAAGAAACTTGAAAACTATTCTGAAATGATATTGATACTACACTAATAAACCATATCAGATTTAATAGCCAATATTAATCAGTGTTCTCTATTTGTAAGCACAGTATATAGGAAAACAAATAACTGCAAGCCCTTTCCTCTTTTGTGTTTTTTAAAGGCACAATAATGTGAACAGAGCCAACACAAGGTTGTCCCTTTTGTTCTTACCGATCGCAATCCTTCGCGTTGTGGCGCTCCGTGTGGGCTTCTCTGGCTCGAGCACCCAGGTCTTCTCATCAATTTCATCTAGAGCATTCCAAAACTCCTTTAGCGATTCTAACGCTGCCAAGAACTGACTGTGAATGCTTAATAAGGAGCTCTAAGAGAGAAGGAAATTGTAACAAATTTTATAGATGGCATTTAACCAACAGCAATAGAAAATCGTGAAATAATGGCCTGTTGCAATTTTTTAAAAGACTAACACAAATCTATCTGTAAAATATGTGGCAAAAAAAAATCTTGATTTTTTTTCCTTCCTGAAACACTTTTTTTTTTAGTTCTGACTGGACCACATATTGGCTGGGATGCATTCTTTGGCTGTATTATGACTCATTTTTCTAACCCATATTAAAAAATGAATTCCGCCACAAAATATGTTATGCTAGAAGCATGAAAAAAACATTAAACGTCTCTCAGTGCTATTTTTAAGTCAGAAGTAAAAAAAAAATACACAGCTTATTACATAATTTAATGTGTTCTAGTATGCAATGTATCTCCCCCCTCCCCACAAAAAAAAAATCCACCTTTGATAATTATTAAGAGAGGCATCCTTAGCTTCTGCAAAGCAAGATCTTGGTAATTCCGTCACAGTAAAGTACCATTATGATATGGAATAACAAGGTCTAAAAATATGCCACACTCACAGTAATTGGGCTTTCCCCCCTAACTAACATGAGAATAGGATCCAATTTCACATTTCAGGGAGATATGTATAGTTAAAAGGTAAAGATGAAGGTTTCCCCTGACTTTACCTTTTAACCATACCTATCTCTAGGAGTGGTGCTCATCTCCATTTCTAAGGCAAAGAGCTGGCATTGTCCGTAGATACCTCCAAGGTCAAGTGGCCAGCATGACTGCATGAAGTGCCGTTACCTTCTGCAGAAGCAGTACCTATTGATCTACTCACATTTGTGTGTTTTCAAACTGCTAGATTGGTAGAAGCTGGGGCTAACAGTGGAAGCTAACCCCGCTCCCCAGATTCGAATCGCCAACCTTTTGGTCAGCAAGTTCAGCAGCTCTAACCCACTGCGTCACCTGTTACTTTTAACACATATTCAAAATTGATTCTTAGAAACCCTGGAAATTTTTGTCAGCAAACATGCATTTTGAAGAACCCACGGATCACAAAACTTTACAATGTCAGGTCCTAAAATATATATACTGTACACAGAAGCTAGAAATGTCAGGCTATTTTAGGAATAGATATTTTCTTTCATTTAAAGAAGAATCATTTTCATTTCTAAGGTACAGTAGAGTCTCTCTTATCCAACATAAACAGGCCGGTAGAATGTTGGATAAGTGAAAATGTTGGATAATAAGAAGGAATTAAGGAAAAGCCTATTAAGTGTAAAATTACGTTATAATTTTACAAATTAAGCACACAAACATCATGTTTTACAACAAATCAACAGAAAAAGCAGTTCAATACACAGTAATGTTATGTAGTAATTACTGTATTTACGAATTTAGTACCAAAACAGACAAGGGTTCTTTTTTTCTCCCACCGTGGACATTATTCCGGGCAGGAGGCAGACTGCATTGGATAATACAGAATGTTGGAAGAGAGAAGGTTGGGTAAGTGAGACTCTACTGTACTAACTTTCTAATAATAATTTTAAAAACTTTATTTGTATCCCGCCCTATCTCCCCGTGGGAACTCAGGGCGGTTTCGAACACAACAAGCAAACATTCACTGCCTATATAAAACAAGTAATGCATTATTCTCAATAGTTTTGAAAGACACTGATAAAGTTTTGCAGAGTTTAAAATTGCTTAGATGGTTTTTGGTGTAGCTTTATGTATGTAAAAATATTGAAAAAGAGAGCTATAGCTTGTGAAAGAAATGCAGGATTTTTTTTCTTCTACTACTGTTATTAAATTATATTAAAGTGAGAAAGCACTTAAGCAGAAAAGTGTGAATACTGCCAATCTCAAAATGTAACGCTTATTATCTTTAAAAGCATTTTGTTACTTTTATAATACCTGAAGTGATATAATAGTGTCAGTCACTTAACCAGATCTTAGAGCATAATATCTTCATCTTAAGTACTATTATTTCCAGTATTTTAATAATTTTCACACTGTCTAGGAATGTGATCTTTTGTGCTCTGATGACACTTAAATTAATAGCATAATTTTCTGGTACTTGCAACAGTTGCTTTCCATTTTGATTTTCCACATTTCCCTACATCACATACCGATAAATCCTCTAATAATCATTTTTATCTTTATCTTTAGGGAATTCAAAGGATTTTCAGTAGAAATAAAGGAACATCAAGGGATTAGAATCCACAGATACATTTTGAAATCCAATTAATTTTAATACTAATTGCAATTTTTCAATGATATTCCTTAAAAGGTGGCCAAATCTTTTCTTAAAGTGAACTGCTCATCTGATCTTATTTGCATGGTTCATTGATGTTGCCAACTAACTTTCCATATGCGTATCGGAATCTCTATCTTAAAATCAGCCACATTACTTTGTCATGCAAATCATAAAGAATTTATCACCCATTTTACACTTCAACTAGTTTATTTCTGAACACTTCTCCTTTAAGCAATTTGGATGATTTTCATTTGTATCTGCGGCAAGATATTCAGTGTCAAATATACTGCTTAATGATTTTAGGTTGAGGTTTTATTTATTTGTGAAATGCTTGGACTTTTCCTCAGTTCAAGGAATACTCAGATTAATATATATCCAGTCCATCCATATGCACATGTATGTATGTGTGGATATACACACAGGCATGCATGATAGCCATCTTTATGTAATTACATCTAATATTTTTCCAGACACATGTATCTCAGACATTCACAGTGTAGAATTCTTAGCAGCATCTTATACTACATCTCAAGTATCCCTTATCTGGAATGCTTGGAACAGGAAGTGTTTTGATTATTAGGGATTTTGGAATATCTGTATTTGCATATTTGTACCTAATAATGAGACATCCTGGAGATGGGACTAGAGTTTAGATACAACCTTCATTTATGTTTCATATATACCTTCTACATATAGCTATCTATCTATCTATAAAAATGCTCTGTGCATAATGAGTACCTTAAAAACAATAGAACCAATGAACGAAATCACACCAAATTTGGCAACAAAATGTCTCACTACACAAGGAGTGACCATCACTCAAAAATAATGATTTTGTCATTTGGGAGTTGTAGTTGTTGGGATTTATAGTTCACCTATAATTAAAGAGCATTCTGAACTCCACCAATGATGGAATTGAACCAAACTTGGCACACAGAACTCCCATGACCAACAGAAAACACTAAAAGGGTTTGGTGGGCATTGACCTTGAGTTTGGGAGTTGTAGTTCACCTACATCCAGAGCACTGTAGACTCAAACAATGATGGATCTGGACCAAACTTGGCACAAACACTCAATACGCCCAAATATGAACACAGATGGAGTTTGGTGAAAATAGACCTTGACATTTGGGAGTTGTAGTCACTGGGATTCACAGTTCACCTACAATCAAAGAGCATTCTGAACTCCACGAACGACAGAATCGGGGCAAACTTCCTACACAGAACCCCCATGACCAACAGAAAATACTTAAGGCCATCCAATCCAACCCTTCTCCAGGCAAGAAAATGTAATCAAAGGCCTCCTGACAAAAGCCATCCAGCCAATTCTATCATTGGTGGAGTTCAGAGTGCTCTTTGATTGTTGGTGAACTATGTTGTTTGTTGTTCATTCGTTCAGTCGTCTCCGACTCTTCGTGACCTCATGGACCAGCCCACGCCAGAGCTCCCTGTCGGCCGTTACCACCCCCAGCTCCCTCAAGGTCAGTCCAGTCACTTCAAGGATGCCATCCATCCATCTTGCCCTTGGTCGGCCCCTCTTCTTTTTGCCTTCCACTTTCCCCAGCATAATTGTCTTCTCTAGGCTTTCTGTCTCCTCATGATGTGGCCAAAGTACTTCAACTTTGTCTCTAGTATCCTTCCCTTTGAAAAGGACCCCTAAAGGAGGACAATTACATGTCACATGTTCCAGAGTAGGCAAACCAGACAACCTCCACATCAACACTGACATAGAAACAACAAGGAATACTGTTTACCCACAAGCATAAAGGAATTACATATATTAGAAACCATTACTTTATTTTCCAGATCACCAGACTGGGCCACAGCAACGCGTGGCAGGGGACAGCTAGTATTTTATATTTTTGTTTTTCATGAAACAAAGCTTGTGTACAATGATGCATCAGAAAGCAAAGGTGCCACTTCTCAACCATGCTTTGTGGACAATTTCTGAAAATTTAGCAATTCTATTAAAGGGAATGCTCAATCTGTACCACAAAACATTTTTAGGAGGCAATCTCACAATATATATTCTAGTCAGCAAGTCAGCAAGACACATGAGTCACATGGCCAGGAATGGTGCTCCAGCCAACTCTTAAGGAAACAGAAAGTGATAATGAATTACGGAATGGGATAATGAATTATTCCTAATGTTGTTATATGTAGCATCAGATCTGGCTAAACTAATATGTATACATAGGGTGGGAAGGAGAGCAATACCTATATACGCACGTACAAGTCTAGAAATTTGAGTAAAGCATAAAACCCAAAAACTTGGATCAAATCATCACGGCTCAATGTGAATAGCAGAGTGGCAAAAGACAAGGGTACCATATGTTCCAGGAGAACCAAAGTGAAGCACTGCTTCCCTCTCCACCTTTTTGAATGCCTGGGTGGAAAAATGGTCGCAGCCATGGAGGCTGTCCTGCTGAGGCAGTGCTGGTGCTTTTTGGCTCCCTAGAATGACTTTTGACTTATCAGTAAATGCTGTCATAGTTCATAACCTGCCTTTGACTTGCACAAAAAAGGAACGTATACATTGCTATATAGTAGTTACAGAAAGTGGGGAAGAGTCCCCGGTGGTGCAATGAGTTAAACCCTTTTACTGGTAGAACTGCTGACCGAAAGATCAGCGGTTTGAATCTGGGAGCTGAGTGAGCTCCCACCTGTCAGCTCCAGCTTCTATTGCAGGGACATGAGAGAAGCCTCCCATAGGATGGTAAAACATCAAAATGTCCCCTGGGCAACATCCTTGCAGATGGCCAATTCTCTCACAC